ATATATATACATACCCCATTACATGTATCCTTTGGAATATATATATATATATATACATACCCCATTACATGTATCCTTTGGATTGGTGAAACATAAAGGAATACAAATATTGGTGACTAGCAGATTTAGCAAACTCATAACTAAAGTCTTGCAAAATAACTTAATAATTACCAACATATCTGAGGAGCAGTGGTGGGCACAGCTAACCAAAAGGTTAGCTTCACTAACTCACAGTCCACTATCTAAAAATATATCTTTGCTAATGTTGAATATGCAAAACAGCTAAACAAGGAAATAATTGACGGAAGCCAAACTAGAAGCTAATCACTAACCAGTAAGTTGACTGTCACTCAGCCCCATCACACATTTTCATTTCTTTGAAGACTGGTGGGACGGACACAATCCTGTTGGTGACGTGACAACGTCTGAGACTCGGGATTCCCTACAACGTAACGTCATTCCTGGCTCCCTTGTAAGGTCGTTTTGTGGTAGGGCTGGACAATAACAATATACACTGCAACAGACATGATCAATAGCAATGGAAATGTGTCAAATAGAAGGTTGATTATTTCATTGAACTCTGATTCTGAACTGCACAGCATGCTAAGGGATGTAGGTGGAGCCCAGCTAAGCAAGGCTGGTGGCATCAACTAACTCACTCTTTGGTAAGCCAACAACAACCTGTTGAATAACATGATATGTAGCAGTTTCATGTTTTGTTCTTGTGCCTCATAAATGCTTAAAAATAAAAAAAGAATGACGAGGAGTGAGAGGAGGAGATGAGTGCAACAATTCGAGAGGAAATTGTTGATCAAAGAGGAACAGTCACCACTTTTAATATTAATCAGTTTCCCCTGGTCCTCATTTCATATAGGTAAAACAAAAAATGACTGATGCGAAACACTTATGTTGAGATACATTTTAAGCAATATCACCCAGCCCTATTTCGTACTTTTTTCACTATGATATGTTATTATTTACAATAAAGCTTTGTAAAAAAAAAAAAGATAAAATGTTAGCCACCTCAAAGTTGGCAAAACATAATTTAGCAGAAGCTAATTGCTCACTAAGGGTTTTCAAAGTTGATGACAAAGCTAATCCGATAAACTAGCTGATTAGCAGACCCGTGCACTGCTGAGGAATATTTTTGCCAAAAATCTGAAGGAGGTAGTCACAGAGCTGAATGTATGTGGACAAGAATAAGCTCGCAGGTTTCATGTAATGATGACAGTCTACGTGACCTGCCGTATGATTTAGAATGGAAGACGTTAACACATCTTTTTTATTTCCTGCTCCACACCATCCCTCCAGCACACAGGGTTCAACAAATCCTGGCTTTATTTTTGAAAGCTCACATCATGGCAGGACATTGGCTCAACTGGTGATTACTGAACCAGAGGCTGCTTGAAGACAGGCAAAATAACTTACAATTTATCTAGTTAAAAAAAACCTTTATCAGTGAAACACTAATGCAAATTGTTTTACGACAAAAAGCTGAAAAAAAACTAAGCTAACTATGGTTGTTTTTGTTTCCAATTTATTCTACAAGCAAAAAGGTTTGGCTGCTAAAGATAAAATAATCTCAAAATGCTTCAAAACTTTTGATTATTATTTTATCAGCAGATGAACTCGAGGTAGCTAAAAATACTCAACAAATTAGGGGAAACAAAGCATTTGGCTTGTGGGTGGTGACCTTTCATCGTGTTCACAGTGAGTGTGAAAACGTCCCACACCCATAGAGATTCTTAAAAAATCTGCAAGTCAACATTCAGTGGCTAAAGCATGGTGGCATCGTGGGAACTACTGACTTGAAGAGCCTGGCATTAAATCCAAACAAAGGAACAAAAGAAGTACCCAGGAAAACAACCGAGGGCATACAAACACCTGAAAGCATGTTAAGAACACACCTGCACACAGACTGACTCTGACATGAGATTTCTCACAGTCCAGTAACCTGCGGAGCAGGATCGTCAACATCCATGTTTCCCCCGAGTCGTAGTTTGTCTGATGTGGGTGTTTCCTGATAACGCAACTTCTTCACGACAACTTATTTTTGTCAGATTTGTCAAACGATAGCACAACTACAAAAAGAAATTGTTAGGAGAACAAAGTGCATGAACCGAAGCAGGCTTATGCATCAAACCCTCACCTGCTCACTGGTGGACACTCTTCTTTTGATTTTATTGGCGGTTGGCCATCTAATTTAAGTGCATTACCGCCACCACTAGACTTGTGGACATTGCCATATTTCTGCCTTTTAATTCAAAACATTGCATAAGGTTTCTCACAATGTCTCAGCTGCTGAACTTCATTTTTCACACACCCAGATGCACAGAAAGAAAGACAGCTGTTGTTTGTTTGTGTGTGTGTGTGAATTGTGGAACAGGAACACTCAAAGCGCTTTACACTTACAGATATTCACCCATGCACACTCACATTCAGACACTGATGATGGCAAACTACATTGTAGCCACAGCTGCCCTGGGGCACACTGACAGAGGATTTTAGGGAGTTTTTAGGGAGTTCTCGTGTCAAACTGCACTCACAGGTAGAAGATAACCTGTTGAACAGAACATTTCACAGTTTTTTAGAACTTACATGTTTGAACCAGTGAGGCAGAAAGCAGCTGGAGCCAGATGGTTTCACCTCCACACACAAGCTTCAATAAAAATAACTTTAAATGTAATAAATCACAATGTTTTTCAGTCTAAAGGAAACAGATGGTTCTCACTGTACCTTCTTTCCTCCTGTAAGCATTTCAGGACTTTCACTCACTCACTTCAGTAACAGCATGTTTCTTGTCAGCAAAAGGCTTTGTATTTCAGCAGACTGCTGATTTTTTATGCCTCTCTCTCTTTCTCAGCAGGAGTAGCTGAAACCACAATATGGTCAAGCTAAACAAACAACCACAAAGCAAACCTGATTGAAACTCAGTCAGATTAACTGTCTCCATTTCTATTTATGGAGGCTTAATAAATAACATCATTGGCCATCCTCACTTCAATCCAACTGCTTTAAGTGGATCAGTGAAGTTAAGACGGTTACATCTCCTCATACTTACAGCCAATCTGAACAGCTATTCTTACATACTTTTATAAAGTGGATTACTGCATCATGACAACTCACTAAAATTAGTGAGTAAATAAATGACAAATCCCCTTCATAAAATCCATTGGATTTTAAATGGTAAATGGATGGTAAATGGACTGTACTTATATAGCGCCTTTCAAGCCATCCAGGACACTCAAAGCGCTTTACACTTACAGATATTCACCCATGCACACTCACATTCACACACTGATGATGGCAAACTACATTGTAGCCACAGCTGCCCTGGGGCACACTGACAGAGGATTTTAGGGAGTTTTTAGGGAGTTCTCGTGTCAAACTGCACTCACAGGTAGAAGATAACCTGTTGAAACCCAGTGGATATGATAAGGTGGTTTCTGCTGGAAGCTTTCATTTAATAAAGTAGTTACAGAGCATTCTGTTCTATGGGTGGGAAGACCACAGCAGAGAGGAAGTGAAAGCCCACGCCAGCATTCAGTTGTGCTTTAGTCCTCAGTATTTGTTCACCACAGTAACAATGAAGTTGAACTCTCTCTTACACTGCTGTGGAAATCCTTTAATTCACTCCTGGAAAGACATAAAACAGGCCATCAAGGTATGGTTAAAAAAACATGAGTAAGAACCTCAGCTGAGCTGTACCATGATAATAGCTACATAATAAACCCTGGTTCTCTGAGACATGAGTGAGGACCCATATACCAGTGGTTCCCAAAGAATTTCAGAATTAATTACATTTTAAAATGACTAACAACAATTGTTACAAAAGAGTAAGATTAGTGTACTTGAAATCGATAAAAGTAACATAATGAATACTGTTATTATATTCTTGTTTATTTGACCTGATAACCATGTTTATTACCCCAAAATAGTTGGGGGCACAGTTCTCTGTTCATGTTTGTGGGTCAAAAACTGAAAACTAGGGGTGCGCCTATTGCAGTTTTCTGGCCGATCACCGATCTTTAAAAAGCCTGACCTGACAATTCCGATTTTGGCCAATATTAATTTTTTAATAACTGATGCTGTCGGGTGTTGTACACCTTCAATTATTCCAGTCTTATTTTGTAGAAAAACATTGATCTCCCAAAATTAAGAAAATCTGTGCTGATAAATCAGCACCCCTATTTAAAAGTTTGAGAACTGTTGGTCTAGACCAGTGGTTCTTGGTCCTAGAGCAGTGGTTCCCAAAAGTTGGGGTTGGGACCCAAAGTGGGGTCCTGGAACATCAAGGTGGGGTCCTGAAAATATTTTCTGAATTAATTACACAAAAAATGACAACCGACAACATTTTTTTGCTTTTGTTATTACAACATAAAAAGATTAGTGTACTTAAAATGGACAAAAATAACAAAATAAATAATGTTACTACGCTCTTGTTTATTTGACCTGAAAACTATGTGTATCAACCAACAACATCTGGGGGCACAGGTCTCTGCTTGCTGGTATTTTGTGGGTCAAAAGCTGAAAAGTTTGGGTACCACTGCTCTAGGGCCATTATTCTGCACGTTTTTGTTGTTTCCCTGCTCTTCAGTAAGTCTAAGTTCTGCAGAAGTCTGCCAGTCATTTAAATTAGGTGTACCAAAGCAGGGAAACATCTAAAACATGTTTTAGATGTTTTAGATAGGGGTCTTTGAGGACCAGGATTGAGAACCCCTGGACTAGACAATGGGGCTGGGCCATTATTTGATCACGATTATTGATCGAGAAAAAATTCAGGTCGATCACGGTGATCAGCTATGAGCCTCTTTGCTCGATCAAACATGGCGGAAATGTGCGTGACAACAGCCAATCAGAATCCACCTTCTCCTGCTCCACTTCACTTTATAAATTGCTAATGAAACGCAGACGGAATCACAGAATTAACCAAAGCAATCCAGTATAAAACGCTGAATCTCACAGAGCTATTTGGGCGAGTTTCTGAGGTATATTTGGCTGCTGTCGCTTACTGTACCTGCTGTTACCTGCTAACAGGCATGCAGGGCGAGCTCTGAGCTCCGGGTCCTCCAAAAATATGACACGATCTTAGGGTGACGTTTAGGACAGAACAATGTCCCAGTGGTTCTTCTTTTATCTGGAGAAGAACTTTTCTGTGTTTTATTGGCACACGATGAGCTGGACACGACTTCCTGTCTGAGTCTCATCACAAACAGCAGCTGAGAGACGCTGCAAACTCCTGAACACTCAGAAGCTGGGAGTTTATGCAACACGTTGTCGTGTGCAGAATCAGATATGTCTTTCAGAAAAAAAGAAACAGAGTTGTCCGTTGTTTAAGCTCTGTAAACAGGAGGGGGTGGGGGTTCCTTCCATAACAAAAGTAAATAATGAGCTTAGATCCTATTCAGTTGGCAAGTGTGCACAAATTGTTGCTGTTTTGTAGGGTTTATGCTTCTTTATGGCATATTTAATGTGAAATTCAATTCTAAAACTTTAATTTTACTAAAGGATAACTTTATTAATGTGAGATTCTATGATTTACAGATAAATGTTTTTTTCCCTTGGTAAATATTCTTTTAAATACCTTACAAAAATAATTTAATGTTCTACTGAACCACAGCTATTTGAAATATTAGTGAAAGTGAAATAACAGCCATTCTTTATTTTTAAGTTTCTGTAGCTATTTATTTGTTGAATTATTTCTTAGTCAAAAAATCGTGATATTAATCGAGTTCGGCCGATATGAAAAAATTAATTGTGATCATTTTTTTTTGCCATATCGTCCAGCCCTACTAGACAAGCAGACAGGATGTAAGTATGCTCGCTTAAAGAGAAAGTCCAGATGTGACATAAGAAGTGAACACTTCTAGTGACAAACTTCACTCATGTCAGAAAACAAAAGTTCAAGTCTAAACATAAAATTTCTACATTTGTTTCAACCATCCACAATGACTCACAAAGTGTTTCCATCTTTCTGTTTATACAACTTGTCAAAATAAAGTAAAAATTAATCTTGTGAATTTTTTTCTTTTCAACACATTAAGTCATTTACACAAACATCTTCTAGTGCACAGCCTAAATAGAGAATTAAAAAAACAAACAAATGGAAACCCTGAATTWAACCAAAATCTAGTGACTCAAACAAAGATTCACTTGAACATAAACAAGAAAACTACAAACTACTTGTCTACATTTACTCTAGAGGGGTGTCATAACGACGTCCTGTTTGGTTTTCTTTAGCTTGGTGGTAATCTTCAGGTTCGCTGAGATATAACAGACATTTCAGTCTTTACACTGTAATTTTTCCCTTATGTAAAATTTTATAAAATTTGTAAGGAAAGTGGGGGTGACCACAATAATTTCATGAAGCCAGAGGAAGACACATAAAGAATAAATTGCGCCAGCTTGGACAGAGGTGGGTAGCCACGTTACAGCTTCAGTAGCTGGGATTGGCTTGAAGTGTTAACACCTTCTTTCAAAATCCTACATAAAAGCCAAGTAATTTTTGACCCATCACACCTATATGCATTAAGATGTATCACTAAAAAGAACCTCTTTTCAACGTGTACAAATTTGTATTGATGAAAAAATAACCTTGGTTTAGGTAGGTAGTTTTCCACATCAACACTCCATGTGCGCCACCTTCATTTATAAAAACTGATGGTGGGACGTGGTCGTCTTGACTGGTGATATGTGAAGAGGTGGAGGCAGCCTAATCAGGGGATCATCTTTGTGGTAACATCACCCAACAGTTATGTGAAAAGGCCTTGTGTGTTTTTTAATCTGTCATGTAACAAACTTACAGGTTCAAGCAGTAGGTTGTCTCTATTTGGCAATAAAAAAGCAGGATTGTACAATTAGAACCTAGGTGTCCAATCCTGGTCGTTGAGGGCCATTATTCTATGTTTTAGAGCAGATGTGCCCAAAGTGGGGCCCGTGGGCCAAAATTGGCCCGCCAAGCCATTTGATTCGGCCCAAAAGCAGTTGTCCTGGTTACTAGATTGTAATATAAAATACAAGTAACTACGAGAGACATTTAGATTAGTTTAAGCCCATGTCTAGATTTTCACACCTTATAAGAACCCATATACTCAAATTTTAAATTATGAAAAGTCACCTGAGCATACGTTGAATTTTCTCCATGTCCATGGGCTGAAAAAAAAAAAACTAAACAAAACAAAACAAAAAAAAAATGTGGGCAACTGCACTGGCTGCTAGCTTAATCATGAAAAACAAAACAACTTTACTTAAGAATTACTTGCATTTCTTATATTTGTGCACTTGGCCTGCGGCCCTCAGACTGATTTTAATTTTGGCCCTCTGAGGGAAAATGTTTGGGCACCCCTGTTTTAGAGGTTTTGACCTAAAACACTTGATTTGAATGAATGAATGAATGAATGAATGAATGAATGAATGATTGAATGAATGAATGAATGAATGAATGAATGAATGAATGATTAAAAGGCTTCTGCAGAACCTCAAGAGGTAATTCAGACACTGAATCAGGTGAGTTGGAGCAGAGTAAACATGCAGGATTGTGGTCGAGGACCAGGATTGGATACTGCTAAATTAGAAGGATGAACCATATTTTCAGAGCTGTATGACGAGGCACGTTAGCAGCACATCAAGCTCGTGCGAATGAGCGTGCGCCTCACCTTGTTCTACACTGCAGTGATCCGGCGTTCCAGCCTCTCCTCCCGTCGCGCTGGTCACACCTGCCTCGCTGGGCGGCTCGCTTCGATTCACGCTCTCCCCGGAGCCAAAGCGAACTCGGTTGGACGGGCGGGAGCTGAGGTCGGGCGACGTGTCGGACAGCCCCGGGAGGTCCTCGGCCTTGGTGGGCGTCACGGTGAAGCGGACCGATGCCATGGCAGCTCACTTGGAGGGGTTAGCAGGGGCAGGAGATGCAGGAGGATAAGGGAGGGGAGGGACTACTTCTGGACTAGTTAGCTGTGCTGAGCTGAGCTGAACTAGGCTAGGCTATCTCCCAGCTGATGCTGAGGTAACAGCTCCCCCTACAACTTCTCCTTTTGTTGCTGAAATGCGCCATTGAAGCAAACTGGTCGTCTTCCAACCAGCATGTGAAAGAAAGGATCTAAATCTTCCTGATTCTGACTGAAATTCAGCACTCTTGTAGTTGCCACCACAGATGGTCAGTTTATCAAATATAACTGTGTGCTGAACACTTTCTAGCAGCTAAGATGACATTCATAAAAAGTTAAGGGTCATGTGCTGCAAAACTGAATTTTGTGCGTTAATTTAGTCTTTTTGTCTAAGACTGTTCAAGTCCATGTATCTAAACTTTGCCTGACATGTGCCCTGACTAATAAAATGTCTTCATATACTTTCATCACCCAACAGTTATCACAGACAGGGGGTGCAGTGATGGGGTGGGGGCAACAGAAGGGAAAAGAAACAAAAACTTTATTTAATTTAGGTAACGTTAAAAACATTATGCAAATGTAAATTAGGGAGTTTAATTGCCTCAATAAAGTCTGTAATTCGGATTTTCCCCAGTAACAAGCAGCTCTGTGTCATGTGGTTTTCTGAAAATAAAATAATTCATTCAGCAGTTCAACAGTTTCTCTTTTGTTGCTCCAGAAAGCAAATATTCATGTGCTGCCTTAAAGCTTTCTTGTTTTCTTAGTTTTAGGTCAACATTTCTCTCCACACAAAATGCCAGCTATCTTCTCCACATGTTCATTTCCATACATTGGTCCTTTGTGTAGGAAACAAAGGGATATTTCACACATTAAAAGTTGGGAACCAAGACAAAGTGGATTCACATGGTCTCGAAACAAATCGTCTCAAAAATGTCAAAGTGGTCCACACAAACAGTTTTATAAACCTTTAACCTCACAGTCAGTTTGAATTATGTGGTTAGATTTTGCAATATAATAAATCCAGTTGTATTGCAATTTGATTTTTTTTTAATCTGGATCTGTTTTAAACTGAACTTGATTGTATCTAATAATAGTCCCATTAGAGCAGTGTTTCCCAAAGTTGGGGTCGGGACCCAAAGTGGGGTCGCGAAACATCAAAGTGGGGTCCTGAAAAGATTTTCTGAATTAATTACATTTTTTCCTTAGTTGTTACAAAGGAGTGAGGTTAGTGTATTTAAAATGGATAAATGTAGTATAAAAATATTGTTACTATGCCCATGTTTTGTTGACCTGATACAAATGTTTTATCATCCAAAAATAGCAGGGGCACAGGTCTCTGCTACTGTTATTTTGTGGGTCAAAAGCTGAAAGGTTTGGGAACCACTGCACTTTGGTTCCCAAAGTTGGGCTTGGGACCCAATTATGGGTCATGAAGCACCTTGGATAATCTCCAGGAATCAATGTAAAGGGTAATAAAATAATTGCTGATGTAATATTTTCCCTATAATTATTACAAAAAACACAAAATAAGTATAAATAAGTATTTATATTTGTGTACAAGCTGTTAAGATTGTCAAAAAGCCTGTGTTTTTAGGGTTATTAACATAGTTTGTGTACTCAGACCAATAATATTTGGGGTCACAAGTTTTTGCCATGGATATTTTGTGGGTCAGAAGATAAAAAGTTTTGGCACCACTGCATTAGATAGTTTTGTTGTGAGTTGGCACTATGTCAGTAATATGAAATGAACTGTATTTATTTCAGCAGAAACAGAAGAAATACTGTTTCTGACCAAAGTGCTGCAGGCTCCACTTGAAGTATTAAGCATGACTATCAGTTTTTTAATTTACACTTGAGAATTAGCCATAAATTTATTTGTGAATAATTGTGAAATGGGTAGGGCTGGGTAAAAAATCTATTTAATCAATTTTGGAATAATATGATCGATTCACAGGTCATGAGATGGGTTTTCCCTGTGGTGTCCGGTGCCTGATGAAGTTGACGCGTGTTTCTGTGTTTTGTGTCACTCCTGGCTTGCCGTATGTTTACATGAGGTTGACGGTCAGTGCTAATGTTAGCTTCTGAGAGCAAGTAAAGATAACAGAGGCCATGGCAACTTTTGTTTACAAAGATTTACACTGTACTCTGTAGTGGGAAACAAGGACTTCAAGCAGCTCGTTCAGGTGCTCGAACCAAAACTACAGTATGTAAACATCTGACTGAAACTGTTCTCCCCGGGATGTATAAATGTGTGAAAGACGAAATTCTAACAAAATTGTTTATTTTGTCACCAATATTATTATTTTTAAACTTTAAGAAATGTCTTAAAATTCACAGTGGTTGAAAACAATGAAAATAACTTTTATTTTATTTTCTCTTTTTAAGTAGACATATACTTTGAAATTCTTCCTTTTTACATTTAAATCATGCAGTTGGGGTCTTTGTAAAGCAGAACTACAATGCTTTGGACTGAATTCCTCCGTGTTTTAACTTTACCAGCACCTCTTTCACTCCTTTCCTGATGTGTGTCTCAAAGTAGGTGGTTTTGTTCCTTAAAGTACCTGTGACATGCATATCCTTCAAATACAAAAACTCAAAGAAAACATTTTTATACTTAGGAAACTTGGCATGATAAACATGATTTTACCCATTTTGTCACATAACTGGCCTACTTTCTTTTGGATTTGGCTCAGCCAAAGTGAAACAGGAAGTGACATCAAAGGGGAACTCATTAATAAATTAAACTCTCTGGTCTCTGTTTATTAAAACAGTATCATTTAAACTTTAACTCTTCATCATCTATGTTTGATAAAGACTCAAATTAATCTACAGAAACATCAGATTCTTCTCTACAGTCTGTTATCAGCTGTTGTAACAATGCTCTGTTTACATGCAGACATTCCCCTTTGACATCACTTCCTGTGTCTTCATGTGGAAATATCTGAGGGGCATGAAATTTGTTTTGTAATATGCTAATAATGTTATGTTTTAAAACAGCAATCATGTTTATTACAAAAATTTAATGTCACAGGCACTTTGAGACACTTCAAGCCCCGCACCCCATCCTGACCACTCCACTCCGGTGTGAGAGAGGGGTTAGCATTTTCTAATGCAGAACCGTTTCATTTGCAATTTAATTAAAAGATGTCAACAACAGAAGACTTGTCCATCCAGCCTTACATGTTGAAGCCAGAATCTGACCCAGAACCAGAGAATTAAGACGAGGAAATTGTAGTTGATAAACCYGAACATTATTTAGCGATTCCGTCATAGATAATTTGACGTAATAGTTCAGAAAACGTTACAGAAAAATTTGACCCAAACAGAATATAAAGATATCTTTGCAGCACCTGCCAGGAGAGACTAAATTCAACTGTTGGGAAGGTGTGGGAACGTGTCCCTACGCTACCCAGGAGAAGCACATTTTCTCTCAGCCTGCACAGCCATGGAGAGCTGCCTGTGTCTCCACACCGTCTCTTCTGCGCATATACTGCAACCTTTTTTGCAAACAAGCACACCCACATATTTCTGACTAATTACAAAATATTTGGCAAGAAACTAGTTTTGACAGATTGTGCACAAGGGTCACAAACATATCAGCAAGACAACTTCTCAGTTTTTCTGGGCTAGAACCAGGCTTTAGCTTAACAAGCTGGTGAGAAAACATCAATCGATCCTTACAAACTAGGGATGTACTGATATGAAAATTTCAGCCGATATCGATCCAATATTAAGATCCAATATTATTATTGGTTATGACCAATAACCGATATTACACAAACACACAAATTACTTATATACAGGGTTCATGCAGGTTTCATTAAGTAAAATTTAAGACCTGTTAAGACCATTAGGAATGACATTTAAGACCAAACTCACGCATTAACAGAAACATTCAAATGGTCCCAGAAATTTTAACACAGAAACCTTTTATTGCTATCAATTTAGTTATTAAAGAATATTTAATTTTAATACAAGAACATTAAATTATTTTAATGAAACAGTCATATCTATGAGAACTTCATATCGACTGCTGTTGATCACTTCCAACAGAGAGCAAAAATCACTGATATCAAGCCAAGTCTCATTGAAAACACACTTTCTCGTGGTTAAACGACAAGCAGTGGACATGACTGAWCTTCTTTGTTTTTTGGGTGGGTGAACAAGCTGCCGTATGCAGAGTTGTAATGGCAAAGAGRTTGAAAACACTGAAGCAAACTGTGCCATTTTTTGCCTGCAGTTATCACAGGACTTGTGGTTTTTAGTGCATATAAAGACTGGTGGCAAACTTTGCCCTTCATGAACACAGATCGCGTCAACCTCTGATTACTGTTTTACTCTGTTTATTTATGCAGCCAACGCTTCTTGGTAATGATCGAAAGTAAAAAAAAAAAAAAAAAAAAAAAGACTTGACAAAATAAAATTTAAGACCCTGGATGAAAATCTGGGTTTTTTATACTTTTTAGGCCTAAAATTTGATTTTCAAATTTTAGATTTTTTTTAGACATTTAAGACCCTGCATGAACCCTGTATATAAATATACGCACAAACGTACTTGTGTCTTTTTTTTCAATACCGTGAAAAAATTACAAGGCCACTGACATGACTCCCTACTTCAGTTATTCCTAGCTATGCAGCGTCAATTTCACTATCATGATCTAACAGATTCCACTCAACCAACCATTTCCCCTCCTGAAACAGAAACACAAAAGTAAAAAGTGGGAAATGAATATCAGACGTTAATATCAGCCCAGTTTTATTTACTGAACCGATATTCTAAAAAATGACCAATATCGGCCGATACCAATGTTAATGCTGATATATCGTACATCCCTATTACAAACTGATGCCAACGAGACCGAAACTATAATTAAATTAGAGATAAAAGTTAAACTTTTCTGTCACTGTAATTATCAGCACTCTATTTCGTAGCTATTGTTAAGTGAAACTGGTAGCAAACAAGCAAGAGTCATTGGAGCATAACCACGTAGAGCTGAGGATTAACGCTGACAATCTAGGCTGGTCTTTTCCTAAATTGTCTTTGCAGTCTTGGAGCATACAGCGGGTAAAATAAGTATTGAACATGTCACCATTTTTCTCAGTAAATATATTACTAGAGGTGCTAATGACATGAAATTTTCACCAGATGTTGGTAACAACCCAAGTGATCCATACATACAAAGAAATCAAACCATAAATGTCCAGAAATGAAGTTATTTGTAATAATGTGGAATGGCACAGGGAAAAAGTATTGAACACACTTACTGAAATTTATCTAATACTTTGTACAAAAGCCTTTGTTGTCAATGACAGCTTCAAGACRCCTCCTGTATGGAGAAACTAGTGGCATGCATTGCTCAGGTGTGATTTTGGCCCATTCTTCCACAAACAGTCTTCAAATCTTGAAGGTTTCGTGGACCTCTTCTATGAACTCTGATCTTTAGTTCTTTCCATAGATTTTCTGTTGGATTCAGGTCAGGTGATTGGCTGGGCCATTCCAGCAGCTTTAGTTTCTTTCTCTGAAACCAACTGAGAGTTTCCTTGGCTTTGTGTTTGGGCTCATTGTCTTGCTGAAATGTCCAGCCACGTTTCATCTTCATCATCCTGGTAGATGGAAGCAGATTTTTATCAAGAATGTCTCTGTACATTTTTCCACTCATCCTTCCTTCAATTATTTGAAGTTTGCCAGTACCATATGCTGAAAAACAGCCCCACACCATGATGTTCCCACCTCCAAACTTCACTGTTGGTATGGTGTTTTTGGGCTGATGTGCAGTGCCATTTGACCTCCAAACATGATGTGTATTCTGGCATCCAAACAGTTCAATGTTGGTCTCATCTGACCAGACTATATTCTCCCAGTATTACACAGGCTTGTTTAAATGTTGTGCAGCAAACTTTAAAGGAGCTTCAACATGCTGTTTCTTCAGCAGTGGAGTCTTGCATGGTGAGCGTGCATACAGGCCATGGTGGTTCAGTGCATTACTTATTGTTTTCTTTGAAACAAACGTACCTGCTAATTCCAGGTCTTTCTGAAGCTCTCCACAAGTGGTCCTTGGCTCTTGGACAACTCTTCTGATAATTCTTTTCACTCCTCTGTCAGAAATCTTGTGAGGAGCACCTGGTCGTGGTCGGTTTATGGTGAAATGATGTTCTTTCCACTTCTGAATTATGGTCCCAACAGTGCTCACTGAACCTTCAGAAGTTTAGACATTCTTCTGTAACCGATGCCATCATTATACTTTGCAACAATAAGGTTGTGAAGGCCTTGAGAGAGCTCTTTACTTTTACCCATCATCAGATGGTTCTTGTGTGATACCTGGCCATCATTTGGGACTGAACCAGCTGATATCAACTTGCACTGACAAGGGGCAGGCTTGMTTTCTAATTACTGAGAGAGTTCAGCTGGTGTCTTGGCTTTCCATGCCTTTTTACACCTCCCTTTCTTCATGTGTTCAATACTTTTTCCCTGTGCCATTCCACATTATTACAAATAACTTCATTTCTGGACATTTATGGTTTRATTTCTTTGTATGTATGGATCACTTGGGTTGTTACCAACATCTGGTGAAAATTTCATGTCATTAGCACCTCTAGTAATATATTTACTGAGAAAAATGGTGACATGTTCAATAATTATTTTACCCGCTGTATCTCTTGTTTATTACTCACCGCCTCAATCAATTTAGAAGTCACACCGAGGCRGTCAGAATGCATCCAAGCCACAGCCAGAGGTGTCTCGTGGAAGAGCCTAAACTCTATTTCTCCAAACTGAGACTGTTCAAGCCGTTAAGATATTATAGTTAAAAGCCTTCCACAGAACCCCTCAGAGCAGAATGGTAGAAATACCCCTTTAACACACTGTTGTGAATGGTAGAAGCAGAGTAACATCCTTTCACAGCAGCTTGACAGCTCTCTAAATGACCGAGGTGTGAAGCTCGCTGATGTCCCAGATGCTTTCCAAGCGTTGAGCTAAGTACTAATTAACACTCGCATTCTGGGAAGAATGCAACACGACGTGTGAAGAATGCCAAAAACCGCTTTTTTTGTTTCTTTCCACTCTTTCTTCAGACTTGGATCATAATTTAATTATTAAAAGGAGAGCGGTTCCAACCGGTTGTGCCAGAGAGCGCCGGCTCTCCCTCTGCATGCAGAGGCAAAGGCTTGTTGTTCTGTTTTCTAACGCTGCCTGGCCCTTCAACGTGCACAGGGAGGAGGTGAAGCTGAAATGAAAAAAATAATAATAATAAACCTTCAAGTTCAGACAGAAATCATGTACTTGGCATGAGAGTGGGAGGAGGCTGATTTAGTAAACTTCCTGCTCAATTTGCCATCAAGAGGGCCAACTGGAACATTTTATTTTCATTGTGGTCTCCCCCTGAGGCTGTTTGGGTTTGAAGCAACAACAAAAAAAAATCACAATTAATGCGTGGTTTTCTAGTCTTGTTGACCGTGCAAATACAGATACACTCATAAATCAGCATAAAGCATCAGGAGGCTTCTGTACCCACTACAAAGACTAATAAAGGTCTACTTTCTGAGACGCAGCTGAACAATAAACTGGGGGGAGGTGATTACTAGGATTTACTACTAATATTTGTTGTTTAAAAACAAAGTCAAATTAAAAATATCAGCTTGGCAGAGTGATACAAGACATTTTGTTCTCATTTCTAGCAGCTCTCCAGCTAGTCTAGAAAACTGGTGTTATTTAAAATTAACAGATCTATCAAGAATTATTCCCTTGAATTATAATAGTMCTGTGTCAGGATGCCAATCACTGATTTCTCCTCACATTTCTTAAATATGTTTATTATTTAACCGATCAGGCCTCTCTTATTATTTTAGTATAACTACTGAGCCCTCTATCACCCTCTAATGATAATATAAACATACAATATAAATAGTGCTATGATTATTTAATGTATTCAAATTAAAGACATCATGTTGTCTTGATGATCTTCCTTTGGTGATAAATACATTAATCAAAGCACAAATAAGTGATCATTCATGAACTGAAGGAAAAACCCGGCAGATGATGATGATGATCGCCACTCAGCTTCCATTCTAAGCCAATTAAAGCTGGTTGTAATATCTGTGGCTCGATCCGGTCTTATTATAACACACTCAGAGCTGGTTATATCGCAGTAAGATAAGCAGGTGTTCCGTGACAAAAACGGTGAAATTACTGAAGCTGCTGTATCAGATGAAACTCATTTTACGGCTAAAAAATTAGATGCGCGCGCTCGGATAAACTGAAATAAAATTAGCATGTTTCGTGGTAAAGTTTTTATTTATTTTTTTGTGTTGGTAATGCTACAGCGTAACGTGACGCATGATGAGGCAGTGAGCTGCAGCTCGAAGCAGGTAAGGACGGCGGTCGTACCGGCTTGAGTCGGTCACTACAGCCAAGGCTAATGTTAGCCGGTGGCTAGCCACGCTGTCGATTTACAGTCAACTCCGTAGACCTGCAGTTAGCTCCCCCGCAGCGGCAATGTATCCACACTGAAAATGTTTAAGGAAAACAAATGTCACTTTAATCAAACTCCTACCTGTCTCAGGTCTTCTTTAAAAATATCCCGCCGTACGATTTTTTCCCCAGTTATATGCGGAAAATTTGGCTCCCTAATGCTGCTTTATCAATACACTTTGTTGACCGAACGAGGAGTCAATACTGAGCGCGCGCACGTCAGAAGCTTCTTCTTGCCGTGGCTCAAGTAGTCTTGCGCATGCGCTTTAGCAACACATTTTATGGAGCATAGGGAAATGTAGTTTTTACAAGACTTGTTCACTATTGAATGGTTGTTAAAATTATTAGTCAGCCTGGATCAATAAAACTAAGCATATTTGAAGGAAATAAAGTATGAAAATTACAGTTGGGTATTTTTATGAATGATAAAACATAAATGTAGAGTCAACACTAGTTTGTTGACTTCTGACAATGTTTCAAAACAGCAAAGCATACACTTGTAAAGAACACTAAACTTAACTTTCACCAAACTTTCTTTTTAATCAAACTTATTTTAAATTTTTCCATAAAATCTCTTAAACACATTCCTGTTTTTCTAGTTTTAAAACACGAGGCTTCAGATGGGTAACAAAATGCTTTTATGTTTAATTTCTTTTATTGTCAAAACAGCCTTTTTCCATCTTAACCCGTCTTTTCCAATKATACTGGCTTATTTTACATAAGTGTTTGTGGGGACCATCACTTTTAGTGTTGTTTAGTGGCACATCTGAATTATATTTTTACACTCACAGCTTATGATTACTATGATTTGTTATGATTTGTTAAGTTGTCAATCAGTTAAGATTTCAAAACACACAACTACGAATTGCAAACCATAATTGAACATTTATTTATCAGAAAGAAATGACAATAATCTCAATGGAACCCTATAACAAAAACCTTCTGTAAAAGAAAAATCTAACAAAGTCTTTTTAAATCCAGGCTCTTCATCTTCCAGCTGTTCTCCTCCAGGACTCCAGGTCTCTTCCCACCACCATCTCCCACCCTCACAGAACAGGCCTGGGCTGCTGGGTGAGCAGGATGCCAAAGCGTTTCTTCAACATCACGCGGTGTCTGGAGAACTTGTCATCGGGAGAAAAACGAGCAGGGTGGGCTGAGCTGGTGGGCTGCCCGGTGGGATTCACCTTCTGTTGGAGACGAAGAGGGCGAAAAAAAAAAAAATCCACTGAGCACTAGGGAAGTTAAAACATTTAAACATTTTTTTAAAAATCTGACAAAGTGCCATTTTATATAGAAAACATTTTTAATAAAACATTCTTAGTAAAATAGTGTTACAATATCTGTTCATTTAGGGATAAAAAATAACTTTTACATTATAAAACACCAGTATAGGTCTGTTTTTGAATGCTGTAAGTGCCTATAAATATTAACGATTACCAACATGTTGCACAGAATTCATGCCACTGAGATGAGCAGTTGATGAAATATGTGCATGAGCAGTAAGAGGATGCAAAGTAAACACAGCATTACTGCAGTGGCTTACAACACAACAGCAGCAAAGACTAACATTTCTGTAGATTATTTAGAGTTACTCTCTGCCAGACAAGAGTCAGAGTTTCTAAAGGAAAATAAAACAGAAGGGAATATACCTTTGTTATCACTTACTGATGCACTCTGACCTCCCAAAGTAAACATAWATGGCAATTATGGGAGTAAGTAAAATCCTGTATTGTGCCAAAATTCCTATACATTAATAGATTTTCTTCCAATTGTTTTGTAATTATAGGAAGTGCATGTCACAGGTCACTTTAATCTTTTGGTATGCTGAAATAGACAGACATCCTAAATATATTAATWTAATTGCAGAGGTTTTCAATTGAGAAAACACAAATTAACCTTTTCATTATTGCTCAATTGAGATGTTTGCCTACAAACAGGCGTTTAATTTAAGCACATTAGATTTTTACGTTTCTCTACTTTAACTGTGCTTTTATGTAGTTATTTTTTATTCCTTTAATTGTGCAATATGTGATTTTAAAACGTTACTTCGTTGTAAYGTTATGCTTGACTCTAAATTTAAAAAGCATTTAACACCGGCCTCAGTTTTTTAAATATCCTAAATAAACAACTTTAATTTATAGGATGTAATGGTTTCCTTTTTACCCCTTTCATAATAACAGTAACTGCATAACACAAACAGTTTTTTAATTATTTAATAAAACAAGGTTTGATATTAGCTAAACAATGTAGCCACAATGTGCTAACGAGCTAAATCTCATGTMAACACGACGCGTTACCTTCAGAGTGTAGACTCTGTCTCCGTTCTCATCGAGGTAAAAGAGCAGGAACATCCCGATAACAGCCTGATGTAAAGTTTTCAAAGTAAAAATAAAGGTGAACTGATGTTATTGGGATAAAAACGGGGTCTTTTTCATAGAGTAACCCCCCACGTGCAGCGAATTTCACTTTGCGTCCCAAGAAAAGGCGGATATCCGGTTCAGCAGTTCTGCCGCTTAGCATCATGGGAAACTGAGTTTATCTGTAAAATTCATTTGTTATTGATTTGATTTG